ACTGGATATTGATGGTGTTGCATCAGTTTGAAATTAAATACATTAAGTTAAAATGATTTTGACCTCTCGACATATTGAGCTGCTGCCACTTGAAGCTTGGCCTTGTAGATAAGTGGCCTTTTTGACTCCCATAGAAAAAAGGAGAAATAATTGTTGGTCTAATAACTGTTGAAAAAGTAAAGCAGAGGTTACAGCCTGCATTAGAGTGTCCGTTTTTGCAAGAACTGAATCCAATTACATTAAATTGTGAGGTTTTGTTGTAATGTGAAAGAACTTGTGAAGATATAGCTGGCATTTTATTCAGTAGCTGATTAGCTGTCTGGCTGCTATGGCACTGAACACCTCTTTTAATATCTAACAAGTGAAGGCAGCAGGGTACAAAGGTTCTGCTTTAATTCCTTTAATCTGTGACTGCACTCTAAGAACTGAGCATGTCATAAAATGAAGCAGCTAAAAACTTGATCTCAGTGTTAAACCATCACTGATTGCACTATTACACTTTAAGTTTTAAAAAAAAGTCTACCTCTCCACTATGGGGCGCCGTTTGTAAAGTGAAACATGCTGAAATTAACGGCAACATTTTTCCACATTTAGCTCAAAACCTTACAAAAACATGTTTGTTCGAGTCATTTTTTTTTACAACATTTAGTAAAATATTTGTAACTTTTCATATTTAAAACACAATTTTAAATGTTAAATCTAAATGTTAAATCTAAATATTAAATTTAAATCTAAATCCAAATGTTAAATCTAAATGTTAAATGTTAAATCTAAATATTATATTTAACTCTAAATGGTAAATGTTAAATCTAAGTATTAAATTTAAATCTAAATCCAAATGTTAAATCTAAATGTTAAATGTTAAATCTAAATGTTAAATCTAAATATTAAATTTAAATCTAAATCCAAATGTTAAATCTAAATGTTAAATGTTAAATCTAAATGTTAAATCTAAATATTAAATTTAAATCTAAATCCAAATGTTAACTCTAAATGGTAAATGTTAAATCTAAGTATTATATTTAACTCTAAATGGTAAATGTTAAATCTAAGTATTATATTTAAATCTAAATCTAAATGTTAAATCTAAATATTATATTCTACATGTTAAATTTAAATGTTACAGAGAACTGAATATTTAGCTAACATGCAAATTTAATGTACGGCTCAACGGAAATACAAAAAATAAAAGCTTTACGAAAACCTTCGGTGCAAAAGTGTGCCGGTAGTGGTCAGATTGTATCTGCTCTCCCCTGATGGTCACTTCTCACCGCCATGAGCTGCTTCACTTCTTGTCTACCAGCACGTCCAGCGATTTAGCTGAAAACATCGGAAGATCCCTTTTGTCGGCCATCCAAAGGTTCAGCAGTAGTGGACTCTCGGCAGCTGCTGGCTCCACTTCACAATCGCTGCAGCACATGTCCAGCCAAATCGCTGGACATGCTGGTAGGCAAGAAGTGAAGCAGCTCATGGCGGTGAGAAGTGACCATCATGGGAGAGCAGACACAATCTGACCACTACCGGCACACTTTTGCACCGGAGTATGTCTGTGAAGGTTCTCAGTCATCCAGGTCATCGTAGTCTAAGGAGCTTGGAAAGAAAAGCGTCTGGACCTCTTTGAGTTGCTTGAAGACGTTTCACCTCTCATCCGAGAAGCTTCTTCAGTTCTAAGGTCAAATGGTGGAGAGTCCCAGATTTAAACCCAGTGGGAGTTTCCCCCCAAAGAGGGACAAAGGACCCCCTAATGATCCTCTACTTAATCACATGAGCCAAGGTGTGAAAGCGGGTGTGGGTCACAATCAGCCAGGGTTTCGGGTGAGCTCATTGTGAAACCTGGCCCCACCCTATCATGTGATTTCCTGAGGTCAGGTAGCCCAGGGTGTGAGTGGCCGTTAAGGCGTCTGGGAAGGGATCTCAAACTGGATTGTAGATGGCAGACAGCTGGCGTCGTAAACCACTGCCTCTGTTCAAAGATGGTCGCGCACAGTGGACGTAAATGGCTTCTTTCACTCCTCTTTCAAACCATCTGTCCTCTCTGTCCAAAATGTGAACGTTGGCATCCTCGAAAGAGTGACCATTGTCCTTTAGATGCAGATGAACTGCTGAGTCTTGTCCCGTGGAGGTGGCTCTTCTATGTTGTGCCATGCGCTTGTGAAATGGCTGTTTGGTCTCTCCAATGTAGAGGTCTGGGCATTCCTTGCTGCACTGTACAGCATACACCACATTGTTAACTTTGTGTTTAGGAGTTTTGTCTTTCAGGTGAACCAGTTTCTGTCTGAGCGTGTTGCTGGGTCTGAAGTACACCGGGATGCCGTGCTTGGAGAAAACTCTCCTGAGTTTCTCTGATACACCGGCTACATAGGGGATGACAATGTTGTTGCGTCTGTCTTTCTTATCCTCCCTCGCTGGTGTCTGATCTTCTTTTCTTTGCCTCTTTGCTGACTTTATAAACGCCCAATTAGGATAACCAGTTTTCCAGTGCTTCCTTTACATGTGTGTGTTCCTTCTTTTTCCCTTCAGGCTTAGAGGGAACATGTTCTGCCCAGTTGTGTAGGGTCCTAATTACTCCAAGTTTGTGTTCCAGAGGGTGAAGGGAGTCAAACAGGAGGTACTGGTCCGTGTGTGTGGGCTTCCGATAAACTTCAATGTTGAGGTTGCCATTCTCTTCAATGTGCACAGCGCAGTCCAGGAAAGGCAAACAGTCGTGCTTTGTGTCTTCCCTAGTGAACTTGATGTTTTTATCCACAGTGTTAATGTGCGCGGTGAAGGATTCCACTTCTTGTCTTTTGATTTTGACCCATGTGTCGTCTACATATCTGTACCAGTGGCTGGGTACTCTCCCTTTAAAAGAGCCAAGAGCCTTCCTTTCCACTTCCTCCATGTAAAGGTTGGCTACAATAGGTGACAAGGGGGAACCCATGGCACAGCCATGTTTTTGTCTGTAGAAACCCTCGTTGTATTTGAAATATGTAGTGGTGAGGCAGAGCTCTAACAGTGTGCAAATCTGATCGGGTGTGAAGTTGGTCCTGTCCTCCAAGGAGCTGTCTTCTTGTAGTCGTTTTCTGACAGTCTCCACTGCCTCCGTGGTGGGTATGCAAGTGAAGAGGGAGACTACATCAAAGGACACCATGGTTTCATCTGGGTCCAGGGTAGGTTTCTGGACCTTGTCGGTGAAGTCGGTGTTCTTGATGTGATGTGGGGTGTTCCCCACGAGAGGTGCTAGGACGGTAGCAAGGTGTTTCGAGATGTTGTAAGTGGCTGAGTTTATGCTACTGACAATGGGTCTGAGTGGATCTTAGGAAGTCCGTAAATGCAGGGTATGGCATCCCCTGGGTAAAGGTGGTGATATGTAAGGCGGTCAATGATTTTGTCTCTTTCAAGGTCTTGAAGGCAAGCTATAACTTTCTTTTTGTAGCTGCTTGTGGGGTCTCGCTTTAAGGCTTCGTAGGTATTGTTGTCACTGAGGAGAGTAGTGATCTTTGTGTGGTAATCCGTTGTGTTTAGGACCACGGTGCACCTTCCCTTATCAGCTGGTAATATAGTGATGTTGTGGTCTTTGCTCAGGGATTCATCTGCATCTAAAGGACAAAGGTCACTCTTTCGAAGATGCCAACGTTCACATTTTGAACAGAGAGGACAGATGGTTTGAAAGAGGAGTGAAAGAAGCCATTTACGTCCACTGTGCGCGACCATCTTTGAACAGAGGCAGTGGTTTATGACGCCAGCTGTCTGCCATCTACAATCCAGTTTTGAGATCCCTTCCCAGACGCCTTAACGCCCACTCACATCCTGGGCCACCTGACTTCAGGAAATCACATGATAGGGTGGGGCCAGGTTTCACAATGAGCTCACCCGAAATCCTGGCTGATTGTGACCCACACCCGCTTTCACACCTTGGCTCATGTGATTAGGTAGAGGATCATCAGGGGGTCATTTGTCCCTCTTTGGGGGGAAACTCCCACTGGGTTTATATCTGGGACTCTCCACCATTTGACCTTAGAACTGAAGAAGCTTCTCAGATGAGAGGTGAAACGTCTTCAAGTAAGAAGCCCAGACGCTTTTCTTTCCAAGCTCCTTACACAATTTTGCACCGGAGGTTTTCGTAAAGCTTATATTTTGGTATTTCTGTTGACCCGTACAATAGATTTGCATGTTATGGTAAATGGTAAATGGCCTGTATTTGTATAGCGCTTTACTAGTCCATAAGGACCCCAAAGCGCTTTACACAACCTGCCATCCACCCATTCACACACACATTCACACACTGGTGATGGCAAGCTACATTGTAGCCACAGCCACCCTGGGGCGCACTGACAGAGGCGAGGCTGCCGGACACTGGCGCCACCGGGCCCTCTGACCACCACCAGTAGGCAACGGGTGAAGTGTCTTGCCCAAGGACACAACGACCGAGACTGTCCAAGCCGGGGCTCGAACCGGCAACCTTCCGATTACAAGGCGAACTCCCAACTGTTGAGCCACGATCGTTAGCTAAATATTTACTTTCCTGTAACATTTAGATTGAACATTTAACGTTTAAATTTAACATTTAGATTTAAATATAATATTTAGATTTAACATTTAGATTTAAATTTAATATTTAGATTTAACATTTAGATTTAAATTTAATATTTAGATTTAACATTTAAAATTGTGTTTTAAATATGAAAAGTTTCAAATATTTTACTAAATGTGAAAAAAAAATGACTCGAAAAAACATGTTTTCGTAAGGTTTTGAGCTAAATGTGGAAAAATGTTGATGTTAATTTCAGCATGTTTCACTTTACAAACGGTGCCCCATACTCCTCTGGTGACCTCTAATCTAATTCACTGTGTTTAGCCTCTATAGACACTTGAGCACTTTCAAACATCACGTGAACGCATCGATTGGATTGGAAGCACTTGTGAGACTGAGACCGGTCCGTGTGGGTCAATGATCTCTAGAGGTGTGATGCTGGGGAGGCGTGGCTCCCCCAGCTGCGTGTTATTGGTGGCCGAACTGTAAACGGCCCAGAGTGGTACCTCAGAGAGCGGCGCGCAGGACTCACTGCAGCCAAGTCCCGCTGATGCGCGATGCCTCGTTTTACTGTACACATTCGAGATGAGTGGCTGGCAGTGCCCTGCCGGGACACTTCCAAAACCATCCAGTGGCTCGGACAGGAAGCGCTTAAACGTTACATAAAGAACAAACCGGACAACGGCGGCATCACGGCTGTGAAAGACACTCGTTTTGTTGTGCGCAGGTGCCAGGGTTTGGGTCTGCTGGACGCGGATGACACCATCGAAGATGTACTGGAGGATAACGACTTTGTCGAGCTTGGTAATAACTTTCTACACGAAGAATGCATATATTAAAAATGTGTGCAACACATTTAAAAGACGGTGACGATGGTTTACCTTTAACTCTGCTTCAGTGATGCGTAATTGTGTATAATAAGTAATTTACTTTAAATATAACTACTGTGTGAACCAAGGGGGGAATGCACACATTGTGATTTATTTTCCTGTGCATTTCAGCTATTGAAGGAGATACCATGTCTCCTGACTTTATTCCGTGTGAACCGGGAGTTTCTCATCTGTATCCTTAAACTTGTTGGATATTTGTGCCATAGCAGCTGTAGTAGGTGCTGTAGTGTGCACTAAAAACGATTCAATCTTTTTTTAATGCCATTTTTTCTTCACATACTGTTTTAATTTCGGGTTAAAATTGTCCTTGTGGGAAATTATAATTAATCTGAGAGTGACACTACATTTTGCCAAATGTTATCCTTAATTAAGTTTGTCAACTAGCACGGCAGCATACAAAGAGCCTGAAGAGGTAAGTGTATTTTCCGATAAAATTGAAAACATATTCATATCATATTAACTAACTCCGTGAAACGTGAAACTCTCTGTCCAGTATATTTCTTTAGATGGCAACAGCCTGACGTCAACAGATCTCATCAACTTAGGCAGAGGACTCTACAAGATAAAGGTAATGATCAACAAACCTCTTTTGTTGTCCGTAACTGCTCCGTTGTAATCTTTTACTTGATCCAATGTCTCCCTTTATCATTGTTTTTTAGCTGACTCCTGAGGCAGAAAGAAAGGTTGTGCAATCCAGAGAGCTTTTGGACACCATTGTCAAAGAAAACAAAGGTTAAAATACAGTGATTCAGTGCAAATGAGCTTAATTTAAACTGGCTAAATTACAGTATCTGGAAAAATAGGAGACTTTGTGTGTTCAGTTCCCTATGTGTGTTCTCCCTGCAGTTGTCTATGGGATCACAACGGGTTTTGGCAAATTTGCCCGAACTGTCATTCCTGTCAGCAAACTCAAGTAGAGTTTTTAAGTTGTCCTTAAATACATTTTACGATCTATTTCTGGTCTTTGTAATCACCCACACAGAGCCCTTTTTGTTTGTTGACTGATGCCATGCACTTTTCGTTCCACAGGGAGCTCCAGGAAAACTTGGTGCGCTCACACTCAGCAGGTGATGATACTCTTTGTGACGCAGATATGTTGATTTTAATGTTTTCAGGCCCTCTGTACGTCAATCATCTTAATCAGAGTTATGCTGTGACGCATAGGTGTGGGGAACCCGTTAAGCCCAGAGAGGACCCGCATGTTGCTCGCTTTGAGGATCAATGTTTTGGCCAAAGGGCACAGTGGTGTTTCTCTTGAAACCCTCCAGGCCATGATCCAGGCCTTTAACGGTAAGCTTCAAACCAGTTAGCTGATGTGAGATATCAGCTTCAGTAAACTGTGGATAACTTTATTTAAGGACAGGGGTAGGACAGCTGTCATAGGACTTACTTTTGTCTCCATAACTTTGTCCCCTCAGCCTCCTGCCTCTCCTTTGTCCCTGAAAAGGGAACAGTAGGTGCTAGTGGTGACCTGGCACCCCTCTCTCACCTGGCCCTCGGACTCATGGGAGAGGGAAAAATGTGGTCTCCCACGAGCGGGTGGGCTGATGCCAAATACGTAAGCTCAGAGTGACTTTTCTGGAGTTGTAAAACAAGAGGGCAACTACTATTGTAGGAAAACGTGTCTCTTGTTTACAAGAGTGAAAGGTTTCAGGGTGCAAATGGAAACATTGTTTGCTTTCTGATGACCCTGGACTTTTTACATGTTTTTCATCTTTCATTCCTGACCAGGTCCTGGAGGCACATGGACTAAAGCCAATATCACTAAAACCTAAAGAGGTAATGTTCAAAAAAAAAGAAAAGCTCATCTATTTGATTTGTCTGCACTGTTGTGATTTGACCCAGAGTTCACTGATAACAGATTTTGAAGTATAAACTGCATTTGCATCATAAATATACAATAAAATACATATTAGGCCAAATATATGGAATTAAAATAATTATAGCAAAATAAAAGGTAATATGAGGGTTAACTTGTAAAAATAATGACACTGTAAAAAAATCCTTAAAAAAATTATCTTTGCAAAATCCCTGCGTTTTGTTTATATTTACATTTTACACACCTACTCAAATTTTTTCTTCTTTTGCAATTGGGGTTGTACACCCATCTCAATCTCTGGGATTCCCTAACAGGGTCTGGCTCTGATCAATGGGACACAGATGATTACCTCTCTAGGGGCAGAGGCCGTGGAGCGAGCCCAGGCGATTGCCCAGCAGGCAGATATTATTGCTGCTCTCACCCTGGAGGTGCTAAAGGGAACCACCAAGGCCTTTGACAGTGGTGCGCAGAAGCTATAAACCCGAAGAAAACCAGAAACTAGATGAAATTATTTACCTCCAATTGTATAACTGCACTACATGTCATCCATCCTTATTCAATTTCTGGTCTCTTCCCACAGACATCCATGCACTGCGGCCACATCCGGGGCAAATAGAGGTGGCTCAACGCTTCCGCTCACTGTTGGACTCTGATCACCACCCATCCCAGATTGCAGGTTTGATGAACATCAAATAGTATTCATGTAAAGTTCTGATCACTGCATTTTACATTTGTGTGCCTTCCTCCTCCCGAAAACTTGTTTGCATATTAGAAATGCTCTTACCACTGGCAGTGGTTTCAGAGTTGCACCACCTCAAGATGAGATGCATGAGTTACTGGGGGTGCATTTGCCAACAGGCATTAATGGAGTATAGCCTTCTAATATCATGCAGCCTTAAATATGCTGTGTTTAATGAGTGTCATATTGTTCTGGTGTGTTCTTACAGAGAGCCACAGGTTCTGTGACAGAGTCCAGGATGCCTACACCATGCGGTGCTGTCCTCAGGTAACCCCAAGTTTATTTATAAATCCCCAAATCACAGGTTTCTCCCACAGCGTTTTAAAGCTTCTGCAGCTTCTAGATGGGAAAGGGAAAACTTCTCACATGATAGATAGTGGGTCTACCACATAGAAAGCAGATATGGAGCTGCAGCAAAACTATGTTTGAGCATCATACATCTCTTTCTGAGTGTTGTGTCCTCTCTCTGCTCGCAGGTTCATGGAATTGCCAATGACACAATTGCATTTGTCCAGAATATCATCAACACAGAAATCAACAGTGCCACTGACAACCCTGTATCCTTTTCTGTCTTTCAAACTAGAGGAAAAGACTGATCTATGAAATTTAGCCAGTTTGGTCTCAAGTCTGATAACTGAAGTTGGATCTGCCACAAACTGCACACAGGATTTTACTGGAAATCAGTTAATTTTGTCTTAACGGTCTCACCAGATGGTATTTGCAGAAAGAGGTGAGACCATTTCAGGTGGGAATTTCCATGGGGAATACCCAGCTAAGGTATGTAGTAATAAGATAGTTTGTTTCGGTTCGCTTTAGATTTGATTCTTCTTTCTTAAACAACTGTTTTCTTTCTCATAGGCTCTGGATTTTTTAGCCATTGCAGTCCACGAGCTGGCTTCAATCAGCGAAAGGAGGATCGAGAGGTTGTGTAACCCCTCTCTGAGTGAGCTGCCTGCCTTCCTCGTCAACGAGGGTGGACTCAACTCAGGCTTCATGATTGCCCACTGCACTGCAGCCGCCTTAGGTTTGTGTGAAAAACATGAAGTAACATATAATCTCCTACTAAATTATTCCAATTTCAATGAGATTATGATAACATTATTTACTAAACAGGCTTTGATATTGAATATTACACTTCAGAGTGCATTTTTTAATAAAAGATCTAATGTTATAAATTTGTAGGGTTTTTTTTTTCTTCTTACCCAATATGTGAGCAGGAGCACTGACATTAATCTCAACTCTTTCACGCTGTTCAGTTTCAGAAAACAAAGTTTTGTGTCACCCATCATCTGTGGACTCTTTGTCTACTAGTGCTGCCACGGAGGACCACGTGTCTATGGGAGGATGGGCTGCTAGGAAGGCCCTGAGGGTAATAGAGCATGTGGAGCAAGGTAAGGTATAGCATTGTTAAATTATGTACACCTCACAAGTACTGGGTTGGCTTAATTCTTTGTGCCACAGATTCATCAAGGAGCTGGAAACATTCCTCATACTATCATGACAGGCACTGCCGGTTTGTCTCCACATCCATCACGTAAATCTCCTGCTCCATCACATCCCAAATGTGCTCTGTTGGATTTAAATCTGGTGACTGTGAAGTAAATTCACTGTCATGTCTAAGAAGCCACTTTGAGATTATCTGAGCTTTGTGTCTATCTTCTGATGTAAGAAGCATATAAAAGATGAACAATATGTAAGATTTGGTGTTTAAACAATGCTCAGTTGGTATGAAATGGTTCAAAGTGCACCAAAAAACGTTCCCTGCACCACTCCATCACCACAACCCTGAGCTGTTGATAAAAGGCAGGATGGATCCACGGTTTCATGTTGTTTATGCCAAAATCTGACCCTACCAGTCATAAGGATCTAACTTTTGCAGTAGAAATCAAGACTCATCAGACCAGGCAACATTTTTCCAGTTTTATGTGGTCCAATTTTTTTTTCCTTGTGAAAACTGTACCCTTAGTTTCCTGTTGTTAGCTGACATAGATGGCACCTGAGTGGTCTTCTGTTAATGTAGGCCATCTGCTTTAAAGTGTGATTTGTTGTGTTTCTAATGAGTAGCAACAGTATTTGAGTTACAGTTTCCTTCATATCAGCTCAAAGCAGTCTGGTCACTCTACTGTGATCTTTGGCATTAAGAAGGCATTTTCACCCAGAGAACTGCCACTCACTGGATATTTTTTGGAAAATTCTTTCTAAACCCTAGAGATGATTATTTGGGAAAATCCCCAGTAGATTAGCGGTTTCTGAAATACTTGGGACAGTCCATCTGGTGCCAACAACCATGTCACGTTCACTTAAATCATCTTTCTTCCACATTCAGATGCTCAGTTTGAACTTCAGTTGGCTGTCTTGATCATGTCTCATGCCTAAATGCACTGAGTTGCTAACATGTGACTGGGTGATTAGACATTTGTGCTAACGAGCAACTGAGCAGGTGTTCCTAACAACGTGATTCTGTGATTATGTATAATAATTAATAGATTTATGGTGGGGAGTCCTAAAATTCCAATAAAACTCTATACAGACAACAAATAAGTGAGTAAAATGATTAATCTGTTCCATAGTTCTGCTGCATTACCACTATCAGATTTACAAATAACCAACTGTTTTTACTGTAACTCTTTGAAAACAACAAGCGTCCCTGAATCAAAGAGACTAACCGGTCAGTTTCCGCTGCTTCTGTTGCAAAAAGTGCAAAGGTCGCTGCTGAAAACCATGCCAGTGTACACCGACAAGACAAAACCGCAGGTTACTGGGCGGATACAGAGGTTAACCTTAAACCAACAGGTTTTAAAAAACAGATAAATGATTAAACTATCATCAAATATAATTTATCTCTGTGCTTAAAATTATTTTCTCCGTCTTTTGAAAAAAGTTTGAGGAAAAAAATCCACAGTTCTTGTAAGTCATGGAATAAACTAAAGGCTCAAACAGCAGTAAAAACCCATAGATGGCTTTCAATTGGCTGTGATCTATGTTATTTAATGTTTTCAATATTTATCACTAAAATGAGAGATATATTTTTGGGATTTGGCCAAACTGAATTGATACTTCCTGTTACCAGTCCTTGCTATAGAGCTGCTGGCCGCATGTCAGGGCATCGAGTTCCTCCGCCCACTCCGTACCACCACTCCACTGGAGAAGGTCTATGAACTTGTTCGCAGCGTGGTCAAGTAAGTCAAACAGATGCGGCCAAGGTACAAAATTTTGAGCCTGTTGAAACTATATACCTAATAGTTAATATTTACCCGTTGTTCCACTTTCTCCTTTTACTCTCCTGCTGTTAAACAGACCGTGGATTAAAGACAGATTCATGTCGCCTGATATCGAAGCGGTTCACCGCCTGCTACTTGATCAAAAGGCAAGTTCTAAAAAGTTGTTCAGTGCACGTGCTCCACGTGGCATGTCGTTAAATGTGCTTATATTTTCAACCCAGGTGTGGAATGTGGCCAAACCTTACATTGAGAAGTACCAGACAGAGTACATCCCCGAGTCCCGCCCCGTCTCTCCCACTGCCTTTTCCCTGGACTCTCCGGCCTCCCCCAGGAAGCGTGTTCGCCACGAATGAAAGCACACGCCAAACAAGTTTTTTTTTTTTTTTGGCAATTACTTCAGTCACAAAAAAACAAAGATCCTACACAGTGATCTTGGTCAACACCACAGTTAGTCAAAAGTGTGTGTCCATTATCTGAGACCAACTGGAGCAGAATGGGAGAAACGGATCCTTACGCTTCACTGTGACACTTCACTGATAAGAGCGGTGTGCAGGCTCTTTCTTTCTTGCATCTGAGTTTGTTGGATTTGTGAATTTTCTATTCCCATTAAAGAATTGTTAGAAAGTCACCCAAACCTCAGGAGATGTGATTTCAGGATGCTGTATTCTTATGTCCCTTGAAGACTAAATGTACACACTGACTTCTCTCACGAGCTTATGAACTGGCTATTCTACATACAGAATATTATGCAAGCAACTACTGACCCTGTGCATGAGAAAATGCTAACTTCCTGGTTTGAGACCGGATGTAGGGTTGTACATTTCCGGTAGCTTTACTTTGCGGTCAATCGCTACTGCGAAGATATACAAAATCATGTCCAAAACTCGAAAACGGAAAGATCGCATTAAGTTACAAAGAGCAGAAGGTGGGAACACTCACCGCTGTTGTGTCATAAAAAATCTAATGATCAATTTTGACGTTTAAAGAGTTTAGATCGATCAGTTGTTTACATCACTCAACACAAGCAGAACTGCATTACTGCAGCAGAAAACTCGTCCACATTCAGAAGCACATCTCTGTATAGTGACTGGTCTTATGATTTAAACAGGCAAATGTTCAGCATTCAAACTACAGGTGAAGAATAGTTAAACCAGATGTTTCCCCCGTTATGTCGAGATCAGCTAGTCAAGTACACACCTACACAGCATGTTAACAAACCGTGAAAAAAATGAATGATTGCTGGTAAAGGTTTCTACACATTAGCATTTACGAAGGGTATGTTGTGATTTACCTTCAAAATTACAGCGGTCCCTCACTATAACACGGTTCACCTTCTACCTCACTGTTTCGCAGATTTTTTAGTGCAAGTTTGCATGCTTTTTTACATCACAATGTGTCCTGCGTCCTGATCGCTGCAGACGATCTCCTCCGTGACGTCTCTCCTGTACAGTACAGAATCGCTGCATCGATCGCTAGCAGTGTGACTCTGAAGTGTATGTCCACGAAACGTTTTGCACCGTCAAAAAATAAAATTGGCTACTTGATTTCACCTATTGCTGGTTATTTTTTAGAACATAACACCCGCGATAAACGAGGGAGAGCTGAGAAATATAACATTTGAATCCCTTTTCTCTTTTGTCCTGAGGTGCAGGGAAAAAATATCAACAAGTCGATGAACATCATTTACAGATATATTGGGTAAATGCCCAAGACATCTATAGAAATGTAAATCGCCGCTTGATTCATTCATTTGCTTAACTTGTTTTGGACCGTAAACAGGTCGTGAATAGGACACCGGAAACAAAGCTCCCCACAGGAGTTTCCGCACCGGAAGTAGCATATGCTAACGTGCACATAGTCAATCGGGTTTAACTTGTGTATACTGCACCTTACCCTGATGTACATTCCACTTGTTTATATCTAAACTTTTTTGTCCCTTTTTAAACGTGCCTAATTGACTCTTTATTGTCACATGATTTCTTCTTGTACAATTTTCAAGTCATAATTATCTTAGCACAACCTGTGATTTTGCTGATGTATTTTAAATCCTATTTAATTGTCATTAATATATTTCCAGCTTAACATAATTAAAGTTTTTAAGCGTTCCTATTCTCATCCATTTAGGTCATGTTGTGTGAATAATGTTCCTTATACTATTATCAGGGACAGAGAGGCAAATTTGTAGAAATATATCTCAAAAATCAATCAAACCTGACCGTTTTCAGTGAAGTAACACAAAATTAGTAAATGTGCCAGTGATTTCCAGCCTCTCATCAGCATACCCTGAGAATAACATGCTAATTAGTTTGGAGGTGCTACATTTGTCCTGTCTTTGTGTGTGTTGAACTTCAGCAAAGTTAGGTTGGCAGAAGCTTCCTTACCCAGTTAAACAGCACCTACCCGGCTGGACAGCTGCTCCACCACCTTGAGGTGCCAAAAGGAAGAGCCTGTGGAAAATAAAGCAGAAGGTCTGCAGTCAATAAACTCAAAGGTTGCACAAACAGCTCAACAAACAGCTCAGGACAAGATAGCAGCACAGGAGCAGAAATCTAACATGCACAGAGGCGGTTCAACGTTAGAAAAAATGCTATAGCTCTACAATTATAGATTCAGTTTAACATATATGCACTCATTCCATTCCTTACTTTACCAGCCAGAGTGAGGCAGAGCTGGGGCACATTTCAGTAAGAGGTGGGGTATGCCTTACCACAGGGGTGAGACAGATTAGCAGGACAAGAACTGAAAGAAGCTTACAGAATAATAGCATACTAACATTAATTGCATGGACGATTACAAAGGCATTCTCAGCAATCTCACCTTGCAGTTTTAAAGCATTAATGCTTTATTGCTTTTCCAGTGCGCCACCTCTCCACCAAGGTTCATTAAATTTGGCTTAGGAGTTTCACAGTAATCTTGCTGAACAACTGAACTGATCGCATTCCTCTGTCAATGAAAGATGAATGAGCACACGTTTAAATTAAACAGTACAAAAACGACTGGCCGTATGTCAAAACATTTACTGAGAAGTGTGTAAAAAAAACAACAACAAAAAAAACATGTCTCCTTCGAGCCGGATTCGAACCAGCGACCTAAGGATTTCAGCTTTCGCCTCTACAGTCCTCCGCTCTACCAACTGAGCTATCGAAGGGACGGTGTCCATCGTTCTCATTCCACAGTATTTAATAAAATGTACCATTCCCGGAATATTATATCATAGATTTCAAAAATGTATGAAATTTCATTCTCACAGCTGAGGTACAATCATTGATGAAAACGCGAACACACAACGACTGGTTTTAGATAAATAGCTAGCTAGCTACCACACTGCTTCCATTCAAAGTCTCTCGCAAAAAACTGAACTGTCCAGCTGTAGCTAATGTTTTAGGCGAAATAACTTAAAATAGTACCAAGTCAACAGCTCCTCCTTTACAGCAGAACTGTGACAACCGAAACAACAAAAACACTGAATAACGACTTTATTTTTTTGAGATATTTTTGCTAAACGGCGCTCTCTATTTGAAACAAAAGTGACAAACATTTAGCTAAAGATTGGGAAACGAAACGAACCTGCATGTAATCTTCCGCAGGTGAGAGCTCAAGCTAAATACAGTGGACAGTAGTTACATATATTGCACATATAGTGCTAATGGCCATTAGCACTGCTGAGGAGCGTCTCAGCAGGCAGGTATGCTTTAGCTTTTCTGCAATATCCTTTGCGGAAAAGCTAGAAAGATTTGAAAATCTTTCATTTGATTGGGAGTCATTTTTATGGCTAATAAAGTTTGTTTTGTTTTTTGTTTTTTTAAGGAAAGAAAGAAAGAAACGTATTGATATATAGTAAAAAAAATTATATATGGTAAAAATCCAAACTGCTTATCTTTTTAAGCGCAAAACTTGAAAATTAAACATAAATTAATTTTTATTTTATTTATTTTATTTTAATTCTGAGACTTAGAGACATAGCTTTCTGCTTTGTTATGAAAAAACAAATTAAGTTGAGGATATCCAACATCAACCACTAGGTGGTAATATTTCACCATGTAAGGAAATTAAAAAAAATCTCCTTGAACTTCACATGTTATATGTTAACAAACATTTTCTTTCTTGTAAAAAAAAGAAAAAAGAAATTGTTGCATACAGTCAAAACGTGACTGGTTTCTATGATTCTATTCATAAATATTCATAAACACCATAAATCTATATCTCAGTTTTAGGACCAGGAAAAATTAACATTTTTAACACAACCAGCACATCCCACAGTGGGATATCTATGTGAGTGTTATTTTTCTAAACGTCCTAAATTTTCCATCTGACAAACACAACCCATATTTTTAAAAAAAAGGATTTTAATTATAAACAGGGCTTGCTGTCGGGCTGCTCTCTGATGTATTCATTCTTGTCCTGACCTGTCTGACAGTGAGGCAATTCGTTACATTACATGTCTGTACTGTATGTACCACAGGGTCACGCTTGTGAGGCAGCAGACATTCTTCTCATAACACAGGCTCCAATCCCCAGATCTTCCCCGGCCTTTTCCCAGATTATCATCCAGTCTCAACTGGTCTCAACTGGGAGCGACAGATATCCAGCCAAAACCCTACGGCAGGTTTAAAGGGTGGGTCTTCATCAGGAACACGAGAAGTCGCATTCGCTAACAACTTTTTTAACCTGCACATTTCTTATCAGTGAACTTTGTTTAAAAGTAGTAAATAAACAAGAAGATATTAGTGGTGCAATTATATACAAATTATCAGCTGTTTCTAAAGTTTTAGCCTGAAATAACAGTGATGGACACCTGGCTAAGGTCATTAGTTTGCTGTCTGACATCCCATAATTCATAAATCATCACGTGGCTTTTTGAAAGCAGTGTGACCTCAGTCCTTCACATAGACTATATATAATGGAAAAAATGCCTTTGGTTGTGGACTGAAAGGGTATTGCTTTGCGTCTGTAATTAGCACAAAAGCATTCAATGTAAATGATCATATTATTGAATATTATGTTGCTATATTTGTAATAGCACACTGGCAAAGACAATACTGGGATCTGCTCCCCTGTGTCCCACCCATAATTTCCACTCTTAATTTCCACTCTTAATATGACACAGTTTTGGGAGGGAAGAAAAGATGGATGTAGCCTTCTGATCTGGAAAGTAAGGCAGGTGAGGAAGAGCCTTAAATGTGGGCAGTAGACATTGACTTCTCTAGTTGCAAAAGGGCTTTTTCAATTATATAGGACAAATGGTCTTAACCTCACTTGCACTGGGAACCGAGTAAATGCTCCTCTAATTGGTTTACTGTCTCAATCGCCGCAACTTAAATGTAACTTTTTACCCTATTACAGTAAAAAATGCCAATAAAGCAGAGTATGCTTTAGAGCCAGGTAGCTAATAACCAAGTGGTTTTCCTCAGAAAGATTCACCCCACATTTTTGATTCTAGGTTCAAAAAGTAGCAATAGCATTAAATGCTGAATGCAAAATAACTGATGTTGTGTTGTGCTGCTAATATAACATCAGCTCATTGCAAGGATCGACAAAGATGGCATGCTAACACAAAGCTAGCAAAGAACCCAGAGTAACGTTAAAGCTGAGTGTTCACCGACAGCAGTCCAGCAACCCGACCGTGATAGTCAA